ATCTTGCACACCGTTCCACAATGTGTCACCTCTGGTCTGACCATTTTCAGAAAAATGTACTTATGTGCATACTAGACATTTTACATGGACAATTTACACCGTGCCTGTAAATTTTATGCGTTAACTAGTGTGAATATGATTTGCATCATTCTTGCATGCATTTGTTGTATAAGGATGTCCATAATTTGGGTTCATTATTTGTACATCATGATTATTGCCCATGACTAGATTGTTAGATTTACTTATTACCTCTTCCTTTGTCATGAGATCTTCTTTTAGTTAATTCTGTTTATATTTTGAATTTTAGGTTGAATGATCAATTGTTGTTTGGGTTTATCTTGGCATGTAATATGATGGTACTGACATCATGGCTGGTTATATGTTTGTGACCTTTTGCCCATGTTTTCAGTCTGTGATCTCGTTAGAAACAACATATCCTCTTTGATTGTATATGTTTATTATTTTATCTTTCAACGAATGAGGGAATAATAAATACTTTTTTTGTCTTTTGTGAATCACAGGAACCTGAACCTATTGACTGGGAATATTACAGGAAAGGAATTGGGTCGCGCTTGGTGGATATGTATAAAGAGGCTTATGAAAGTGAGTCCCATAGCATGATAACCTTCGTCCAAAGTTGAAAGATTTCATTATTATCTCATTGAATGGAGGCTTTCTTATGTCAATGTGTACATGAATTATGATTTTAGAAATGTCCGAGTCGGTAGCAAGTTGTGAACCATTCTTCAGTTAAGAATCTGCTGATTCTGCTCGCATAAGTAGCACGGCATATCTTCCTGAGCTTTTATGCAGTGAATTTTTATTGGATAGGATTTATGCTGAATATATTAAGAGTAGAGTGCGTTCAATAATTTTGATTGAATAAGAAGATTGAAGCCAGTGTATATATTATTAGAGTGATTGAATTGAAATTTTCTTCAATAAAGATCTTACATCCAGTTGACAGTTAAAGGCAATAATGTGAATATGGTGAACAAATATTTTTATATAATTTTGTGATGGCTTCCCATTTTATATTTGTTTCTTCTTGCTGAGATTCAAGGTTTATCTATAATTTCTAAAACCGGAGGCAGTTTATTTTATAATAACTTCTTTTATTGCGTGTATGAAAGTTTTAGTTTTATTTTTATTTAAGTTTGAAAACTCATTTGTTAGTCACAAGCTGATCAAATAAGCCTTTATATCTGCCATCTGGTTAGTATTAATGCAAAAGTTCTCATTATGTTATATAGCAACCATATATTGTGCCACAAATAAATGCAATCTAATGTGATTGATCATCTTCTCATTTATGAACTTACTGCATCTGCAGATAGGGCTTGATGACATACCTTTTTCAGTTCTCTTCTGTAATCATAATAGATCTATTTTGCCAAATGTTTGTGTGCCTGGATTTCATTTCCAACTTTTTTTTCCAAAGAGATCATATCGTACACAAGCTATTTATGTCTTGGGTAATTTAAAAGAAGAATTAGCTAGTTTTCAATCTCTTTTTTGTTTCAATCACTTGGCTGAGATGTGAATGCACTCAGTTGATGATCTGAACTCTTGTTCCTTTATTTGTTAGTGTGCTTCACTACAACATTGATGGCAACTCATAAAGTCCCAACTATTTATGGTCTGATACACGGATGATATGACAAAAATTTAGGAAATTGGTTATCTAAACTCTTAATGGAAACATGTGGATTAAGGAAATAGATGCTTACCGTATCATTTTTCGTGATGCATTCTTTTTGTCTGGCATCTTTTCCATCACTTAACAAGTACACTGAGTCACATAGAGTTCTTCATTTGCAGGCATAGAGATCCCCAAGTATGTTGACACGGTGACTCCTGAATACAAGCCCAAATTTGATGCCTTGGTGAGAGATATCTATCATATTGATCCTTTTGTTCTTTCTTCTGTTGTGTTCTAATCCACGAACTGTGTGAATTTTTGGGTTGTCATGAAGAATTTGTGGAGTAAGACACAGCCCTTGGATATTGTTTATTTTGATATGTGATCTTCCTTTGAGTTATGTGCAGCTGGTTGAGTTAAAAGAAGCAGAAAAACAATCATTGAAGGAATCAGCACGATTGGAGAAAGAAATTGCTGAAGTTCAGGAGATGAAGGTGAGGACCAGCATTTCCCCAGAGTCATTTACCACAGATGTGTTTCTGCTATATAGGTAATGTTATCTTTATTGATTGTATTTATAACACTTGTTATGGTTGCAGAAAAAAATAAGCACAATGACAGCTGATGAGTATTTTGAGAACCATCCTGAGCTCAAGCAGAAGTTTGATGATGAAATTCGAAATGATAATTGGGGATATTGATGTCAGGGAGGTTTCCTTCAGTTGCTGGGAACGTCATGGGAATTTTAATAAATATATCTTGGTGCCCTGTACATTGGAATGGAACCAATGTGAGCAGGTGATATGTTTTTTGTCCTTGAAATTGGAAATTTCTCATTGATGTTGTACTTTCATCCTACTCTTTGGGGTCTCGGTTTAATAATTGCCTTCATTTTGTTGGTCATTAGCCAATAACTTTGTTCGATGGTTCTCTTTAGACAAATGGGATCATCTGCCCACAAGCATGGTGAGCTATTATTCTCTCTTGTCTAATATTTGGCCACCTTGATGAACAAAAAAAGTTCATATACTTGCATGGGTAGACAAACCATCGTAGGGTGTTTGCTGTGTTGGGTCTTTTAGAAACTGCAGTTATGATACCAAATTCTCGCAGATTGCCTCAAGTGCTCGAATGGACATCAATTCTTTAGGGTGCCAACTTACCGTGTTTTCAAAGTTGTTATTTTTAGTTTTATATTGTTAGCTCTCTCTTGTTTTATATATCTGCAATCAAGTTTTCATGCTCTGCAACAATATCAGAAAAATTGGTTTGCGTTCAGGTTTTTGACACTGATTGATCGAAACGGGGTTGTTAGTTTTTAAGATACTGTCTGCGAACATATTTGTGTAATTCATACCATTGGAAACTTGTCTCTTTTCGTCTGCTTCTGTCGTGGTAGTTTGAATAATGTCATTTGGTCAGTTTAAGTGTTATGGTATGCTTATTTAAGATGCTTTGGTTATCATTTATTTCTGTATAAAGGTCATGCTGTCTTCTTCATGTGCATACTCTCCTGATTACATTGCTACTTGTCCTCCTGTGAGAAAGGGATATGATTTTTCTAATAACTTATGAGACTGTTGTTGCCTTTGGTGTATTCTCCTCCGAGAAACCCGATAAAAGATGAGAGGTTTCTAATCGTTTGCTCTTTCCTCGAGAATAAGGTCGTGTATTGAGAAGCGAGTACATCATGCGCTCCTCACCGACAGAGACCTCATTCCTTTGGCTCCCACCCGCTACTAGGAGGATATGCGAATCCATGGACTACTCTCCTAATGACGATGGAGGCGACCGTGAAAGGACCGGTGGTTTCATGGCCGGGTCTCAGGATAATCAAATCTGATCCGCCTTCACCCTGATTAACGGTTGAAAAAGGGTCGATGGGACGTGTAATCATTCCAAGGGACAAGAAATGATTGAGGTGTTCCACTCCCCTCATCACCTCCGTGTCACATTCCTGGCGCCCTTTTATCCCTTGTGGCTTCTGCCAGTCTCCCACCCAACCCAGGATCTACGCGGGTACAGAGTTGGTCTTAGGATGCCTGTTACATCGTTCGTTCGGGAGCCGAATGTGTTGCCCCCGTGGCGTCTTTTGTCCATGGATCGGAGGTCATGGATTTTGTTGGGGTGAAATTTCTGCCCATCTGCTGCTCCTTTTAGATTCGCGATGATGGACCCTCTCACGAGAATACTATTTTGAATCGATCTGAAATCATAGTTGATCGATTTGGAGCAAATGAAAAAAGAATAAAAATAATTTCATTCTAGCAAATCAAAAAAGCTGGAGATGGTTTTCAAGAAGCTTGCTTCGACGACTAGGAATCATTTTGGGGCTCATCGACCGAGGCAAAAGTGCAGCTCACATGTCGGTACTCATTAGGGAGACGGGTGACGGGAGTTTTGTGGGAGATGATGGAGCTCATCAACCAAGGCATAATAAAGCGAGTGGAATTTGAGCTCACATCAATAATGCTGCTTTCACCGCCGGTGGAGATTTGCACCACAAGATCTTCACCATCATTGCCTTCGTATGTAGGCCGTGCAAAAGGCAACCCCTACCTGAGTGCATATCTACGTATCACATGTGCGCGTCCCCTTCTCTCTCTTTTAACCGTCTTCTCATCTAAAAAGCCTGAAACCATTCAAATCATTGCCTGATCCATTTCTATTGCATTATTTCTCCTCCCCCACCCTAATTACTCTTTTTGTATTTGTTACATGTTTTCTGTATGTTCCCTAGAAATTTTATCGTATATTCATAAACTGTAAAATCAATACACGAGTATCCTATCAATTATTTTCATAATACCAATATTAATATGATCGTCTACTAATCATAATTTCATTGGTGATGTTAATCTTTTTCAAAATTAAAAAATTTATTATATCAAATAATATATATGATGCTCACGTTAATTCAAACAATATAGTTGATATCTCTCTCTTTTTTTCCCTCATCATTTATTGCAATAATGTTATAGTTTCTATTTTTGTATGAATTAATTGTAATAATACCATTAAAATTGTATGTATTAATCTCATTGTTTTTGTGTGCTAAACAACTTTTTTTTTTTTTTTTTCTGAGGCTAGCTAAAAGAATAATGATAATGAATTAATAATTCATCTGATGTCATGGAGTGTCAACCATGATTCCTGCAGCTGGACCTCACCACATCTCCGGGGGAAACCCATGTTCCTTCCTAGCTCCGGCAAGACTGCACTCCTTGGCTTCATTTCATGAAGGATGAGAATGAGACCACAATTCATAATCCTTCTTTGTGGTATCCTCAATCATCTTCATCGTCTTAAAAGGTGTGTGTTTAAAGCGCCAGAAAAGAAACTCCGAATCCAAGGCGAAGATGGTGTTAGGTAGATGTTGGCCGTATCAGCACACAACGTAGAGCTGCGAGATCCAGTTACTGTTCCTCACCTGCGCTATGTGGTTTCATCAGTCCCGAGGGTTCCATCTCTCCTTCTTTTAGGGTTCGTCACACTGTTGAGCCGTGCTCATGAACAGTTCCCGGATTCCGCAGGGCTTGCATGCGAGCGACATCCCCGAGTCGCATACATGTACACATGTCATCGGTATTGGCTACCTTCCGCAGACTCCAAAAAGGTCTTTGTTCTTCTCATGGCTTGTCATACCTTACACCACATTCCCTTGTCCCTTGCGAGGTAGGAAGGGATCAGGAGGAGATGTTTCAACCTGCCACTGCCTGTGGAGTGCTGCTGAACCAAGGTTGGGTGGGCAGTCCAGAGATCATGGTGACTTCCCACATGGGCTTCGACCTCCGTGCATCACCTCCCCCCCCTCTCCTCGGCTCTCCTTGCTTTGCTGGTGGTGGTGGTGGCGTTGCTGCTTCGCATCCGAGGGGAAACCTCCTTCCCTTCCCTACAAAACATGGAGATGGCAATCGCCCAGCTCAACTCGGAGCTTCCTCCTCGAGTAATGTACGGTAAGAACTCCTGAGAAGTAGAATTAGTGTTCTTCGTTTAGCATCTCTCTCGTGCTAGGGTTTTCTTTCTGCCTGATTAGGCCATGGCCTGAAGAGGATGCATTGAACAAGAAGGAACTATTAGCTGGAAACAAGAAGAAGAAGAAGAAGAAGAAAAAGAACAGTTTTGTAGGCAATGAGAACATGGTCAGCAATCTATCAATCGGTGCTACAAGGAAGAAGAAGCTGAAGGTGAGGAAGAAGCTGAGGGAACCAAGGTTTTGCTTCAAGACAATGAGCGATGTGGATGTGCTAGATGATGGTTACAAGTGGAGGAAGTATGGGCAGAAGGTTGTCAAGGACACCCAACACCCAAGGTACATATGCATGCTCATATAAACGCATACCTTGCTCTCTTTTTTCTCCTGTTTCTCTTCTCTCTCACATCTGGTGGAAATCCTGAGTGGCTTAACCCTGACAACAACAAAGTTCATTTCTTATCTATGAATAGTATCTTTGCTTCTTGATCTGTGCATTTCTAGTCTATCGAAGCAGTACAAGATTAATCTTGTGTTGCTTTAGTCTAACCATTTGGACATTTAACTTCTTGGAAGTAACTTAGAACTGCACCAACAGTGTTCCTCAGACAGATGACAGAATTAATGAGGCCTTATTCAATAAAGTAAAACTACATGTAGATTCCTATTGATTCATTGTTGGTGAGGAATCAAATTTGCAATTTGTTTGGTTGTCTCTGTCAATATGTCAATCTGCAACCATTAGTAGCCAAAATTTAGAGACTGCTCACCTTTTTCTTTGTTTGAAAGAAGCAGCAATGAGTCCTATTCCAACTTGAATGAATTAAACCATGTCAAGATGCTGAACACAATAATAAAGGTTGTGTTTTTACTTTTGTCTTTCTCAAAATCAAACAAGAAGCTAAAAAATTAATGAGTAACTGGTTCCATGATTTAGACTATTTTTAAACCACTAAAGATTGTTATTTTATGTTATAATGCTCAGGAAAAGATTAGCATGATATGTGAAAATGGTAATGGTTAATGACTAAACCTTGATATTATTCTCTTGTCTTCTCTTGACTGATTGCCCTTTTTCTTAGGTTCTGTTGAAATGAATTATGGGATCCACTCTTTTCCCTCTACAGCAAGCTTCATAATTACACACAATAGGGTAATGATTTGTGCATATATATATACATCATATTCAATATTTTTTGGTGGTATTTTTTTTGCATACATTAATCATTAAAGTCGAAGTCAAAGAATCACTTGTATCATTAAAGTGATGTGGTCAGTTAATAGTTCCCTCTAAAACTGTAATAGAAACATTAAAGTGATCAGTATCTCTTGTAGAAACATCAAGTATGATAGGCTAATTAATGTACTTTGGTGAGTAACAGAGTTTTGTGATTGAAAGCTCAACAAAAGGTAAGTTCATCATTTTGATATAATTGTCAATATCAAACGAACACTGACATATCTTCTGAAACAATTTCATGTCCATGACTTCACCCCAATAATGACATCTTATTTGCTAGATTGTTTGACTGCTCCTTTATCATGTCAGCTTTCTGCAGCCCTTCCAAACAAAGTGACATCCTTTACCCTATCCACCTTTCACAAGAGTACATAAGAGTTATGCAGGACTGAGAGAACCCTTTCCAAGATTAAACAAGTTTAAGCTGCAATTAAAAGCTAGTAAGTAAAAAGAGTCATGTGATGTTTTGCCATGAACTTAAAGCTTGGGATCAGAAGGAATGATGATGACCCTCATTGTCCGCATGTCATGTGGTTAACCAACATGGAATCTTTGCTTTCATCATTGTTGGCTGCTGCTTCCCACAGCTTAACTAACCATGCAGTTAATTCAGCATGGAATCTCCATGTTCATGAGGTGATAGGCTTCTCCATCACATGATCGAGTTGGTGCGAAGAAGAGTTCATGGCATTGCAATGATGCCTCCTTCTACCTTGTGGCCCCAACTGGTGTTGGCAATCGAATGTGCTCTCGTTATAGGAATGGCTGGGATCGATAATTCGCGAATCTTGCGTTCGAGGTGGAAGATGAACAAAAGTGCATTGCCGTGACCCGATCCACAATCCATGCAATTATTACCGTCTCCTTTGATGGTGTGAAGGTTTCAGTGAGGTGAAGGTACCATTGACGATGATTTGTTCATCTGCAGGAGCTACTACCGGTGTACGCAGGGCGATTGCCGTGTGAAGAAGCGGATCGAGCGGCTGGCGGAGGACCCGAGGATGGTGATCACTACGTACGAGGGCAGGCATGCACACTCTCCCTCGCACCACGAGGAGGAGTCCCAGGCTTCTTCCAAGCTCAACCTGTTCTGGCAGTGACCGTGTACATACATAGCATTGATGCGTCGAGTGAATGGCTAGAAACATATGCGCTTATCTTTCTCGTGTGTTGGAACTCATGATCTGCTATGATGGATACCATGATTCAAGTATTTGAAGCTGATATAACCTTGAAATCTCTTGATGGGTGCTAAAAGTTTGAGTGTCACTACCACCAATGATATCTTAGTGCCCATAGCATCACTTATTCCATTCCACAATGCAAGACAAAAATTAGATGGACTTAATGTTGAACTGGGCCTTCTTGGCCCAACAAGATTCCTCTCACCAAGGCTCGAAATATAAATGAACATACATTAGGAAGGTTAATTAATCGAAAGAACTAAACCTAAAGTAAAATAATAATCAATCCATCCTATATTTTATTAACGCTTCGAATGAAATGGACGGACGGACATCTTTGAAGGAAGAATCTGAGCACTTGGAAGGACCCAATTTGAAATCCATGGTTTGACTTGGGTAATCCCTTTTTCTTTGGGAAACACTACCCGTTTCTTAATCGAGTCCACTCGAGTAAAGTGTAATCGTGTCAACCATTACACTAAAAAGATGGCACCGAAAAATTACTCGGAGAACCAAAGTGCGGAATCGCCATCGCCGCTGCTGCTTCCACTGAACTCGGTCAACGTTGACGCCGTCAACCGTGCATCGCATGCATGCCTCCGGAATCCCCATCCCATCATGCCATGCGGTGAGCACACCATCACGACGTGGAAGACCCGAATATAATACTCGCACCACATCGCGCCACGTCACCCAGCATGATTTCCCGCTCTCTCTTCCCTCCCGTACACAAATATCTCCTCCTCGTATTATCTCTGTCATTAAATAAGAACATAAATGTTTATTTCCTCGGATCACAAGAGACGAGCCTGTCGATGCATCGTCTGCATGTCACATACATGTGGCAAATATTATACTCTAAGATATATGTTATTCTTCCATTATTATTATTTTTGTCTACATAGACGTATATTGAAATATATAATAATAATTCTATTTTCCTGTGAAGTGTTACTGCGTTTTAGTTGTCGTGCGGATGGAGAAGGAGTGGGACCCACCACGATGGGGAAAACACCGCGCACCCACTACCGCCCAATTGCGTAAAGCGCCGCCGCCTCTGATCGCTCCGTCGTCCACTTGTCCACTTGCAACGCCAGGACGTCGTCTCCGCGTGACTCATCAACGCCGTCGGATCTCGGCCGTGTGGCATCAGACGGTCGTCGGCCAGTTGGGTCAGGCCGAGGAAATCGTCGGATAACGATGCGTCGGCCGCTCGCGTGGCGGGGAAGCGCATGTGGGGGCGAGACACATGCATGGGTTTCACGAGGCCATGGCATGCGCAGCATCATCATACATCGTCACCACATCGGGGGCACGCAAAATATCAACGCCACGTCGGACGCGATGGGCGAAGCGCAGCCTCCAAACTGCGCTCCGCGGATCGCCAAAGAATCTTTTACTGCCCGCCCTCTCGCCCTCCCCCACCTTGACCCTGTAATAAAACAATATTATATAACATTATTATAAATAAAAAAAAAGAAAAAAAACCTCTTACGCTCTTAATACAATCCTTTTCCCCCTCTCCTCCCTTCCCCTTTTTAACTTCACATCGTCTTCCCCAAAACAGACGCCAACCAACTTCAAGAAACAAAGAGAGATCGAGCGAGAGCGAGAGCGCTTTGAACCCTAGCTTTAGATCGAAGAACCCGTCAGGTATGTTTCGTTTCTCTCCATTTCCTTTCTCTTATTTTCGGTATTACCGTGTATTTCTTGAATTTATCGGGGTTTTTATTTGTATTTCTCGTGCGGTTCTTTTCTTGTATTTATTTGTATTTCTCGTGCGGTTCTTGTTTGTTCTTGCATTTATTTGGCCTCTTTTTTTTTTTTTGGTGTGGATGACTTCTTTTTGTCTTGTTCTTGGTGTGTTTCTTGTGCGGAGATTCGGAGGTCGATGTGCTTTGAAATCGGTTGAGTTGTTTGTTGGGATTTTTAGGGGGATTAGATCCCATGCCCGCGGGTTGAAGTTCGATGATTCGCTTGACGAGTTTGCTCTCGAGCTGAGCTAGCCGTCGCATCTTGGTTTGAGAGTTGGGAATCGGTTGTGGATATAAGGTCGATGCAGAGATCAGGTCTTGTTGGTGGTGGTGAAGAAGTGTGTTGGTGGTTTGGACGCTGTCTCGGTAACGAATGATCAGCTTCTTGATCGGAGAAAAGAAAGCTTCGGTTCTTGGGTTTGTCTGATCCCTGTGAGGAAGGAAACAGAACAGGGTTTTGGTTTATAATGTCCATCTCGAATGAGAAGTGGATTGATGGGCTCCAGTTCTCGTCCCTCTTCTGGCCACCACCTCAAGATGAGAACCAAAGACAGGTACGATACAAACAACTTCTTGGTTCGTCCTAGCTCCTGACTTGCTGTTCTTGGTTCTTCCTAGCTCCTGGCTTGCTGTATCTCATCATCACATAATTTCTCTCATGTTTTTGTCTAGTTCTAAATGATAATCTGACGAGCTTGGATTATTCTTATGTGATGCATTATGCATATATTCAATATGGTTTGAACTTTGATCAATAAACAACATGGCTAATTCATTTAAGTTTTAGATTATGGAAAGTTTTAAAATTTCCACATTGTATAATTTGATATGATTTGACCAATATATAACATGTCCTTCTGATTGATCATTTACATTTCAGAGTACCAAATCTATCCTCGAGTTTTTTATTGGGATGGAAACTTACTCTATAATAATATGTTCTAAAGAAAGGACATGTGACATCTGTATGCACAATTTATGTATGTAAACGTGAAGACCGTGGGATATTTTCCTTAACAATGTAAAAGAGCTCCTTAACAAAGGGAGCATCAAACAATTAATGAATGAATGATGGAGAATTAATAATAATATTATGTTAAAATAGAATAGTAAATTAGATCCTCTTAAGGGGGTTTGGCATCTGTATGCACAATTTACATATGTAAACATGAACATTATGCAATATTTTCTATACCAATGTAAAATATCTCATTAACATAATTCACTAAAGGGAGTATCAACTTCATGAATGGATGTTGGAGAATTAGTAATAATATGTTCAGAATAAATATCTAAGTTAGGTCCTTTTAAGGGGATGGGATATGCTGATCAATAAAACTTGTCACAACAAGAGTTTGTGAATTATCACTAAGATGGAAGTAGGGAAAGGCAACAAAAAGTAGGATGAAAGTGGTGAAGGTGAATTCTGGGTCACCTGCCCTTGGCACACTTTAGTATGAAATGGTCTTTTGTTAACTGACAGGATTGGATAACCTGAAAACAGGATTCTGTGAGATAACCCTCGTGCTTCTATTATTTTATGCTTTAATAGCCAAAGTTTTACTAGTGAATTACTCTAAATATCACAAATGCTGAAACATATCTCACAAGAATACATCTACGTGTGTGTGTGTGTGTGTGAGAGAGAGAGAGAGAGAGAGAGAGAGAGAGAGAGAGAGAGGCTAGTTACTAAAAGAGGGGCAATTCAATGTAGTGACTTCTACCAATATGGGATGGCTAATATATACAGCCTTACCTTGGTATGAGCTTTCATTATTAGTTTTTATGCTTAATTGTATCATTATTTTATGAAATATATTAGTTAGCATATTTTTCATGGGGCTACTAATTTGTGCTTTTGAAGTTTAGCCAAGTATTTTTTATTAACAAAAAACATAATAATATATATGTACTATTTTTAACTTTTATTATTGAAATTTAGTTTATATTAAAAAGACTTTAATATAAACTATAAATAAAGATTGAAGTTCTCTGAACTTAATTAAGCATATGATTTTTTACAGATTTCAATGACAATAAAAGATTTATGTAGTCGACCTCAAATAGTTGAGACTTACGGTTTTACGGTTATTGTTGTTATTGTAGACCTCTCGATGTGATAATCAGAAGAGGTGAAATAATTAATATTAGCGGTACAAGGAGAGGTAGAGGAAGACCTAAAAGACCTTAATAGAAACCTTAAATAAAGATTTAAGTACTCTGAACCTAACTAAACATATGATTTTTTTCAGATCTCAATGGTGACAAAAGATCCATGTCGTTGACTTCAAATAGTTAGGACTTACAGCTTTATTGTTGTATTATTGGAATTTGGTGATCTAAGAGGGTATCCATTTCCACATACCCACCATTAATTATCTCTCCTTTCTCCATAATTTGTCAATAGATTACCCAAAACTTAGACCCACCCTTTTGATCTAGTTTAAGAACTGTAATTCATGTGGAGTTTTGATTTTCATCAAGCTAAATTATTTTGAAGTTTTGTTTTAGTGCTGTGGGTTTGTATTCTATCGCCAAGTTTATAGCTGTTCATTATAAGTTTGAACCTATTATTAGGCCCCTTTCATTAGTGTAGTATCACAAAGTAATTTATGTCATATGAAAGCCAGAACTAAGCATATTTGGAGGCATCCTAATATTCTTATTTGGTCAGATATACTTGGAAGTTAGATTAATCTATTCGAGCATTGGTCTTAAGACCAAATAATGTTTCAATTTCATGCTTCAACTTATCTTTAGCCAGATTCTAGAGTTTTTTCAACCATTCTTGCGATCATTAACATGCTATTGACTTTTTCTGAAGGCACAAGTTTTGGCCTATGTTGAATATT